ATGTGGTAAAAATGTCATGACAATCCATCCACAAGTTTTTTAATAATGTTGTCCACAGACAGAACGACAGACATACGCGACCGAAAACATTACCTCGCCCTTGGTGAAGGTAATAAGAGAGAAGTAGTGCAACGACCCCACCGACACAGAAGACTTACCTCAGCAGTTTTTATTCAAAGACACTGACTCCAGTGGAGACCTGTGAAAATTCAGGCAACAGAAAGAGAATTTCTACCTGCTGCTGAGGATGGTTGTGTAAACGGAGCGAGGCTCGGCGCTGAAGAAGCTGAGAAGGTTCTCCTCAAGAACTTCCAGCTTTCCCTGAGAAAAGAGGACAGCACGCGGTCTCATCTTTTAGGGGCGATCTGGGTTTGTGCTCAAGAAAAGTAGAGAGCTTTCTTCCTCACTTTCTTTCTCGTCTCACACAATCTTTTAAGTGCTGATAATGTTTTGGGTTAGCTGCTCAGACAACAGGAGTCTGGAGATGACGTACATCCTGTCTCGACTCGACAACCTGAAGCTGAATCTTTTAACTGAACATCTGAAGCTGTCAGATATAAGAATCCAGACGCACAAAACAACTCTCTACTTTACGATCACATTTAAACCTCCTGAAGCAAACAAGTAATAAACGTTACCTTTCTAACCTCAGAGGGAGAAGTGATGATGAGATGACACCTACCATGGGTATTTGTTTCCGTCTCAGAGTCACCCGAAGCCGACGATCGATTCTTAGGTAGCATTCCTGAGCAGCAAAGGCAGGATACACTGTGGAGACGTGAGCGCTCGTCAAACAAACAGCTTTGTACACAATTAACAACCTAAACAACCGGAGAGGCTCACCATTCCTTTGGTCTTTGAGGTGCTGGTTGGTGTTTTTCCTCCGGGCTTCCTCCTGCTCCAGCAGAGACAACAGCCTCTCCTGCTCCTCACCGGAGCAGTTCATAAAGTCGTTCCAGGGCTAGAACACAACGAAGGGCAGTTTGTCTTTCACACAACAGTTCGTAATGTAGGGAAAAAAAGATGTCAAAGTGCATCTGAGCTCTCAGATAAGCGAGTCAGATGAGTACCTCCACGTAGTTTCCGTTGGGGCAGGCTTCAGTGAAGATGGACGGGATGGCCGGGTTACTGCAAACCTCCAGGTCATCTTTGGAGCACTCATCCTTCTCAAGAAGGTTGTCAAGATAGCGCGCTGAAGACAAAAACAAAACACAGACAGAGGTGTCGTGAGTCAAGCAATGATTCGTTGATGTTGGAAGTTTAAGAGATAACATAAGAGTTCAATTTTATCTATAGAATCAACGTTTCTAATGTCACCTATCACACAAGGCGTGGGGGCTGCAGAAGCTACAGGCCTTCAGCCCGCAGCGAATCTGATCATCAGATCAGACGAAATGAGAACTTACAGTTTTCCTGTCGACGAAGACTCTTCTTGCCTTTGGCACGCGGGATGAGTTCAGAGTTACGGATGGCTTGATTGATGTAGAACTGCTTCTTCTTGGCAGGAGACACTCGCTTGGCTGGAGAACAAGGCAGCGAGGCGCACTTACGCTCCTCTATCAGGCTGGAAGAACAGAGGACAAGAACATCAGAGTCTGTTTGACTCAGATGTTTAGAAGGAAATGCCAGCTGCCTTTTGCCTGTATTTATTTAACTTCAGCTGACTAATAACTGCGCTTCAAATTGTTTGCGAAGTTGCATTATCATTGACGACAGCTTTCTTAATTTATAACCAAGAATGATTTTTAAACTTCTTCACTTCTTCAGTGTTTTGGTGGCTCAAGGTGGAGAAAACTGATCCTGCAGCAGATTTACATGTAGGTCAGTGGGTCTGTGCATTGATATATATTACTGGATTGGGCATCATGWGACCTGGGCGTGCTTCGCAAGGGGGATTTTTATGCATTGAGCTAATACTAACACTAACCATTGAAATCAATGAACAGAACGTAGCACGGTGCAAACAAACGCTTTATAAATGTACAAATGGTACAAATATTTTGCTATAAACTGCATAAACTGTTACAGCATTGTTTACAAGATCTAAAAGGGTTATGTTTCACAGGTAAATATTACACATATTTGACCAAAATTAATTATTTTATTTATAAAACCTGTATGCTAACATTAAACAGCTTCAATGTTCATGTTTAACC